CTTCCAATAAAACTTTATTTATAAGAACATTTGCTCTACTATTGATAGCAGTTGTTTCTGAACTTCTGTTTCAGTTAGAAAGCATACTGACTCATATTTCATTGTCGTATATAGGTTAGGGTTTCTTTTTCATAAAAATCAAGTGTAAAGAGTTCAGCAGAAAATTTCATGGCAGTAGCATAAAAAATGTCTTGGGCTAGAGACTTACTTGTACAAATAACATCAAGATTTATCGAATAAGAATGTGTTTACTTTGACAAATTGGTGCTCTTGCATCATTAAAAAAAGATAAGTTAGTGGGTTTCCATTTCCGTGGAGATTTTATGTAACACAATGGCCTTTTCACTATGCCATTTAAAGTAATTACCATTAGCACCAAGGCTATTAGTTCAATATAATCAAGGAATGTAAAGGTCAGATAGCTTTGCACTGTAGCCATCACTAACATTTCTTTATATTTTTCCACATTTTATAACTGTGTTTTCTTGTAAGACTTTTTCAATATTATATTGAGATTTTCCTGTTCTACTAAAATGAAATGAAATTATTAACAAGAAATCATTGATATCCATGCCTATTAAAATTTCTATTTCATATATTTTTCTGTTACTTTAAGCAGAGGATCCTTTCGTTTATTTCAAATGTATCCTTGCTTGGCATGGGTGAATAGAAGGAACATTATTTATGGATTTCAGTTAGATGTAATGAGCAGCAGTTACTTATGAACCTGTAGGCTTCTATCATCTTTTACCTTCTTCCAGTGATCCAAGGTACTATTACAACAGGCTTGATTTGCAGAATTGCTATGTCCTGACTGACTGAGATGTTTTAAATCCTGGTATTAGAATAGCGTACAGTCTTCCCTTTACATGTCACTCTACCTAATGGCTAAGATATGATCACTCTACCGCTCTCTAGTTTCCCTACACTTGAACTAAAGCTGAAAGTTGCATAATATGTGACACCAAATTAAACAAACTAAAATTTACCTTCTGGGTAAACATTTGAAACAAAGTCTAATAATGAAATCTCCAATTTGAGAGAGAGTTGTTTAGAAATCTCAGTTCTTTTCTGTATAATCTCTGTTTAAATGATTCTGAAAAAAATGTGTATACTAAATTTAAGTAAGTTTTGGGGAACCACATGTCGCTACTTTTTGTAAATCCCATCATGTTACTTATCTTTGGGGAGGTATATACCCATCATGACAAAGAAACAGAGATGTGATACTTTTGCTGTGGACTTCTGGTGCCTCTAGTCCATGTAGTAATCAAAGCTTACTTTTCCTTCTCCAAAGTCCTTACAAGATACCACTATTCATTTCACAAACATTATAATCTTCTTATTCTTTCTTGTTTTCTTAATCTGCATTTTCTTTTCTTGTTTGGATGTGTATATGTATGTATTTGTGTGTTCATGTATGTATGTATAAGTACACATGTGGGGGACTGCAAGTGCATGTAGAAATCAGAGGATAACCTTGAGTGTAGTTTCTCAGGAGTTTTTCTCCTTGTGTTTTGAGGCAGGGTCTCTCTTGGCCTGGATCTCACTAAGTAGGCTAGGCTGGTCCCCAGTAAGCCTCAGATATCCCCATTCTCCACCTCCCCAGCACTGGGATTACAAGTGCTCAGGTTGTAAGGATTTTTTTTATGTGGATTTTCAGAACCGAACTCACATTCTCATGATTGTGCAGCAATCAGTTTACCAACTGACCTGTCTCCTCCACCTTCATCTGCAATTTCATTGCTGGAGTTTAATCACTCATTGTTACCTACCTTATTTGATGTATATCCCAAGAGACTTCTATGTCATCTACCTTGACTTCTCTAATTCAGCCCTCATTCTATCACACAAATGACTTTTCTTATAATAATCCTTTTTAATTTCCTGCTTATTTCTCAAAACTTTCAAATTATTCATAAGAAGTGCATTTGGAATCTTAATCATGTTATCATAATGTAGGTCTACTGGAAAGGTCCACTAGAAAAAGTTTCTTGCACATGTTTTTATTTTTTTGGAAGGAACGTGATCAAGTGAATCTGAACAAATGAATTGGTGAATCCTTTGCTACAAAATAATGAAGCAAGTATTTCTCCTTAGTTCCTGTTTCCCAATGTTAAAGAGAATCTCAGCTGACTATTTCTTCTTAGATGCGTAGGTTCTAAGTGCTGTCCTATAAACGTCTTCAGTAGTGGCAGACAGCCTCTGGCCTTGAAGTAAGAAGTTTGTGACAGGGAAAAAGGTAAAATCCTATATGTTTTCTTGTCCAAATCTGCCCAAAGAATGCATGGAAATTATTTCCTTAGCAGTGGCTAGAATTAGAAATATGTAGTTAGGGTTTGAAGCAGTTCACAAAAATTGTCAGTATCAGATGGCACAGAAATGCTTCGTATGTGACTTGAATTTCTGTTCAACTTGATATTTCAACATTCTTTTTCTTTGTTTAGACAAAATTTCTAGCAAATTATTATTAATTGTTATTCTAACAATAAATTTCACTTATTAATTAGTATAGTCAATAAATATTTGCTGCCTAAGATCATGTATGGGTGCTATGTTAGAAATTAGGTGTGGAGAGAAGGTTGCAGGTCTCCTGGAGGTCACATTTCAGCTGAAAGAAACAGACTACAAACATGTAAGAAATGAATGTTATTTCATTTGTGGGATAAAGGATAAGAGAAGACTTAGTGAAGGCCTCTCTATGGGAAAGGACATTGCTTCCAGTCTACAGGATGAAAGTGAAAAAGCTGTCAAATAGCCTGGAGAAAGTGTGTTGTACATGAAGAAAATGGACTTGTAAAGAACTAGAGCCACAAATGAATTGTGTAGAGACACGGAGAAAGCGTTCTGTCTAACAGAATGAGCAGAAGACACTGTAGAACAGATGAAGCATAGGTAGACCCCAGAGGTCAAGGCAAGAGGTTTAGATTTTAGTAGAATTTCCATGGGACATTATTGAACAGATTTAATAATGGGAAAATACGTAATTTGAATTTCATAGAAGTAATCTCAGTCTGAGCTGGGAAGATGACTCAGTGTGTAAAGGAGCTCCCTGCTGAGCTTAATGACCTTAATTCAATCCCTGAGACCCACACGCAGGGAAGAACAGACTCCCAAAAATTGTCCTCTGACTTCTATGTAAGTATCATGGCATATGTGTGCATGTACACATGCATGCATGTGTATATATACACACCTACACAATAAAATCAATTGATCGATCAATCAGTGCAGAAATTTAAAAAAACACTCAGGTTGCTATACGGACTTCCCTAGCACCTGAGCCTCTTCCATCTATCGCCAGATAGCATTGTACTTGCTCCTTTCATAAAATGACTCCAAGTCATCTTGCATCTTGTACAGGGGCAGGCTCTTTGTGCATATGTGTAGATTGAGCATTACACAACAGAACTACTAGAACAATACTGACAGTTGATAATGTGTAGGATGGATAAGCAAGGAAGTCCTTGTGGGTGCTTCAGTAAGTGTTAGGAGAGTGAGACAGAATCTGGAACATTCTTCTCCATGTTTATGATGCTCCATATCTGAATCTCTCAAAAGTATCCCGATATTATGAGCCCATGTTCATTTTGAGCTTTGTTCTGCCTTATAAATCATTTTTTTTTCTTCTTCTGGTAACTAGTTAAGATGTTCTTGCCTGTGAAGTTAATTTTGTTTCAGTAAGTACAAGAGAGGCAGTAGAGTGTAGGTTTGAAAGAGCAAATGTTGGAGTCAGAAAAAGGAGGTTTTAAAAACTAAATTAAAATCTGATTTTGAGACAGTGAAGACTAGATTTAGCACTTAAGAAAGGGCATCAGTGACGTAGAAAACTCTTCTAGAATACAGAGGAATAGGACAGGCTGGTAGGTAGGAGCTTGTAATTTGTGGTTAGAGTTGGAGTTCAATCATGAATCACTAAGCCAGTGTACTTTAATAAATTCAGCTTTTATTTTATTATTTATTTGTGCTGGGAATTGAACCCAGAACCTCACAGATGTTCACCAAGTTCCCTACCAATGAGACACATCCCTACCAAACAACCTAATCTTAATGGGCTCGATTTGTCATGTGTTTAGGGTGAACAACCATGTTGACTCAATAGGATCCTTGTGAAATTTAAGAAGCATCATTCTAGTTAATAAATCTACAACAAATTCAGACACATTTTATATTCTCAAAACTGGCTGGTCTTATTCTCAGCTGCTAAAATATCTTGGAAGAGAATGACACAGTAATAACACTTCTGGACTACAATGTGTTTTTTTTTTTTTTTTTTTTGGTCTTTTTGAGACAGGGGCCCCCTGTAGCCCTAACTGGCTTGGAACTCACTTTGTAAACCAGGCTGGCCTTGAACTCAGAGATCTGCCTGCCTCTGACTCCCAAGTGCTGGAATTAAAGGCATGTGTGACCATGCCTGGCTTTTTTGGTGGGGAGGACTAAAATGTTTTAATGAGTTATCCACTACTAATCTTCCTGGGGTAGCTGCTACAGTATAGAACTTAATCCAAACTCTGTATTTCAGTTTTGAGTTGGAACAAAGGGTCAAAGAAAAACATTGATTTAAGAAATTTTTCTGAACCTATAATCAAATTGGAGGTCAATTATAAAATTTAAAAAAATTATTTATTATTTTTTATTTTATGTGTATGAATATATTGCCTACATGTAGGTAGGTGCACCAGTGTTGTGCAGTGCCTACAGAGGTCAGAAGAGGGCATCTGATCCCCTGAAACTGGAGTTACAGGTGATTGTTAGCTGCTATACAAGTGCTGAGACTCAAACCTGGGTCCTGTGCAAGAACAGCCTATGCTCAGACCTGCCGAGCCATCTCTCCAGTCCCCTATTATAAATTTTTTGTCTTTAATATTGCTCAGTAGAACTAAGCCCTACCCTTTTATATAATTTTATATAGACAGTCTTAGGAATTCAGAGTAATTCAAGGACTTATTCACTAAGAAAATTTTTGGTTACAAGTTATAGAAAATTGAACTCAAAGTGACTCAAACAAACAGGTTTTTATTTTTGCTCACATAAGAAAAAATGTAACTGTTCATCGAAACTGTTGATCAGTGTTTTGATTTTCTTCCTTTTTGACACATGGTAGAATTTTGCTCCTTTCCCTCTTGATGTTAGGTGTAGTTATGTAACTTGCTTTGGCCACTGGAAATGGGAGCAGATGTAGCTTGTGCTATTTCTGGGCAGGAACCTTTAAGAGTGAGTGTTTCTGCCAAGTTTTCTTCTCTGTGCCATGGTGATGAGCGACGTGCCACGTGACAGCTACGAGCTCAGCCTTCACTGCCCACTAGGTTTCAAGGACGCTTGTCACAGCAGCACAAATGTCTTTACAGATAAAAGACACACCGTTCATCTTTCTCCTACTATTTCTCATTTTCATCCTTCAATCACCTCATAGTCTCAAAATGGTTGCTGCAGCTCCAGGAATCATTTTCATGTTCAAAGCAGGAAGAACTGTTACAGGAGGGAGGTAGCATTGTATGCATTATTTTTACCTAGAATACCAAACAAAGAGAAGTTTTTCAGAAGAAATCCTTTATATCTGTTTGGCCAGAACGACTGGATCAGATAGCCTTTACCAGGTTGAGGGAAGCTGCAAGAATGGGCACAATTCTAGCCCAAAAGAAAGTAGGAAGATGGGAACAGACATGAAGTGGACTAGGCAGCTGATAGTGTGTACCTCAAGGGCACAATTAGCATGGGAAGCATTAGTTTTTTTTCTCAGGATGAAAACATTTGATCCCACCATTTGGCAACACCTCAGGAGGACTTACTTAAAATGCCCATTTCAAGTCATTTTGGACTACAGAAAATTACCTTCTGTAGTAATCCTCTCAGCACTCTAACCAACTCATGTTTTCTGAGCTAAGCCCTTTCAAAGATTGCTACAAGAAGTGATTTAAAAACTGGCTGACACAAGGTATCAGCTCTACACATCTTTCCATTCATAAGACACCTCATTGGCTATGAAAAATTAAATTGATCTGGTCATCACATTCTTCCACAAAGAAAAAAAAATATTTCCAAAATGAGACTTGAAAAAAAAAAAAAAAAACTCAAGAATCATGACTTGAGTCTAAAGTAGAACCTTTCAGAGACTTGAAGATGACTTTTGATTTGTTCTATTTTTTTTTGTGGATATTAGAATTGCTGAGTTTAAACACATAGGTTCCACTTTTTCCTATTTTCTATTTTGGGTAAAAATGTATGTTCCATACTTGTCCTTTTTTGAACTTTTAAACAATAGTTCCATTTTTAATCTGGACTTCTTGTTGTACATGATATAAAATCGGTATTGCTTTTTATATTTAAAAATCCTCTGTTGATGGTATAATGTGTTTAACATATGTGTGGGGGTGGTGGCTGAGAAGATATGCATTTAAATAACAGCTTCTCCTAAACTTGAGGGCTCTCTTAATTTGATTTGAAAATATAGTCACTAGTCATTTTTGCACTTCCTTGGAGAGAGCTTAATAATACAGACAAGTGCTGAGCCTGCTTCTCCAACCGTTCTTAGCTCTTTTGCTTTGGGGCTGATAATGCAAACAGTCTCCTATAACTGTGATATGCGGGTGGTTGGGCTGAAGATGCTGCTTTTGGGTTTCGTTGGTCACTGAGGTTATGATGCTGGAGGGCAAGGATCTGGTTCTCTTTTCAGGAGCTTCTCTTCAACCTGGCATCCAAGAGATGCTTCATATTCCAAATATCAGACTCTTCCAACTTCTCCTTTGGTTGAATAGATCATCACAAATGATCTGACAACACTGATCACTTAGAGAACGTAAGCAAAGACTGGCCTACTAGGGTCTACTTTGAAGCCCATGAGGTTTACGAGCACATTTTACTCCTATGGACATATTGTATTTATTTTGGGAATCATATGAAACTCTTAAAACACACTTGGAGTAAATTTTTTCTGTATTTTAGGACTGAAGTTAAACAGTTACAAAATGGGATGCGAGAGACGGCTCAGTGGTTAAGAGCACTGGTTGCTCTTGCAGAGGACCTGGGTTTTATTCCCAGCACACACATGGCAGCTGACAACCATGTGTAACTCGAGTTCCACACAGATACAATAAAATAATAAATAAAATATTTTGAAAAAAAATTCCAAAATGGCCTGTACCATACTTAAAATGTAAATGCTCAAGTTACTTAATGCTATGAATAAGATGAAATTTAAGCCCATTATGTTAACAAAAAAAAAAAACCTCAGGATAACTTTTGTGACATAATAAATTCACTTATTCAGTCGTCAGTAAAAGATTAACTTTTCCCAAAGAATGGTTTTGGCTTTTGATGGGTTCCTACAAAACAATCTCTAAGCGCCTTTAATATCCTGCTGATAAAAGTGTACGATTTTCTACTGCTTTGGACAATGCATGATAGTTCATGCTAGGAATATGATTTACAGAGAGGGTACTTGAACCATGCAGTACCTTTGCACCCGAGAGGCTAGACACAGACAGCTAGACAGGAGGCAGTTATGTCTATGTGGCCAAGCCTCAAAAAAACCCTGGACACTAAAGTTTGCAAGTTGTTGTTTGGCAATAACTCATGCACATTGTCACATATTGTCACTGAGCAAAGTGCCATTTTGTTAATTACTTTTCTATTATGGTAACTAAGCACCTGAAAAGAAGCAGTTTAAGGGAGAGGTTTATTTTGTCTCATGGTCTGAAGTGACACAGGCATCAGTGGTCAGCTAAATGGTGGCAGGACTGCCAGGGTTCCTTGTTCATATCTACAGATCAGGAAGTGGAGTCCAGACAGGAAGTGGTGCTAGGCTGTAAAACCTCAGGGTCTGCCCCAGTGAGCCTACTTCCTTTAGCAAGGCTGCACTGCATTCACGTTTCCCAAGCTCCCAAAACAGTGCAACCAGCTGAGAATCAAATATTCAGACACATGTGCATATGGGGGACAATCCACATTAAACCACAGTCTTTTGAATGAGTCCGCTGAGGGAGAACTGAAAGCTCTTCATCTGGACTCCCATGGGCTCTACTGATTCGCCTCTTCCTTTACTGGCTTTACCTGTGCCCCTTCACTGCAGTAAATGAGGACGGTGAGCATAAAGGCTTTCTGAGCTCTGTGAGAGCTCATAGGAAGCCATACACTGAAAGTGAACCTTCTAAAGTGGCATCCTGTGCTACAAGAATCGTGTTCAAGTTCTGAAAATATTTGCAAACAATTGCTATGTATGTCCTCCTTGGTATCTATCCACAATGAATTCACTTTTCATGGTGAGCTCAGAAATGTTAACAGTAAATGTCTTAAATGGTTGTTTCACTGCTTCCCTGAAGCCCCATTAGGAAGATGGTGGATGGCTCCCTATGCAAAAGACTTTTTCCTACATTACTAGTTACCTGCAGGTTCCTTCCCCATGCTTCTGTGCTCAGCCCTCGGCAGAATTAGGAAGGAGATTAAGAATGTTTCTACACAGCTGCTTTCCTCTTTGGCCTAATTATATTACCTCAGGTTCTGTTTTCTTAAACCATTAAATTACCTTCTTAAAGTTCTATCAAATAAATCCTACAGGTGTTAGCTAAAATTGGCTTAGGATGCTCTCGTTTGAAACATTTTCCTTAAGATTAGGAGTACAGAACACTGGTTTTCAGAAGGAAAGGCTGTATTGAAAGTGCTTAGGGACAAAGTTTCTTCAGTGCTTGTTTCCAGGAGCCTCATTGATATAAGGAGTGGGGAGGCTGTGCCTTCTTATGTCACTCAACGTTTTACTTGAAAAGAGAAGAAATTGCACTGAATTGGAATCAACTTCCCTTCATTTGGACATTTCTAAATCCTCCTTTTCAGGATCATGCCAATAGCTTTGTAGCCACCTAGAAGAGAGGTCTGGGGCACCTCCTAACATATCACTGAGTAGAAATTCTGGACCATCTGGGAGTTTTATCAGGAGTCCCCTCCCTAAGCTTGTGCCAGGTACAGAGCTTTTGCTTTCTACCTGGTTTTTCTATTGTTGCCTGGCTCTTTGCACCGCATCTTTTGATTGTCTCCTTTATAGAGTCAACCTGTCCCCAACGGAGTCTGCCTGGACTTCCGGCATTGTACAACTTTCACTGCAATCTTTCCTCACATCTTAGTCTGTAAGGTGAAGGACTGTGCCTGCTGTGTTCATTTTTGTATCGCAGGACCTAAAATATTTCCTAAAATACAGTAGCTTCTCTATGATCAATTGTTGAGCCCATGAATGAATGACAGCTTGGTGCAGTGCATTTTTGTGTTAGCCCTTCCTCTAGGAATGTCTATTTAGGTCAGATACTTGGCATCTCTAGTTCCTGGCCTGAGAATTTTGATAATTTAGGGGATATAATAAAAGGCATTTAAAAAAACCTTTGTGAATAAAAGCATCAACAAAGATATTTTTTCTACATAAGCTGCAGAAATTCTATAGAGTATTTAAAATCAGTATTTATCAGAAAGATCATATCACATAAAATAAAAATTGGGGGTAGTGAAGGAATGACTAAATAAATAAATAAATAAATGAATAAATAAATAAAAATTGGGCCACTGGAAGGGGCGGGTAGGAAAAGAGAGGCTTCTTACAAGTTGTCATTCCTCAATTAAAGAGTGCATTCTATTTTGGTAGCATCTCTACTGAGAGCATTCCTACAGTTTTTAATAGCTCAGTCTCAGCTGTCAGGAACATTTGTGTTAATTTTTTCTCTTCAGCACACAGAGGAATGACTGTGCCTGTTGTTTGCAGATACAAAAATCTTCTTCCTAATAATGTGATTGAAAGTGTCCATCAACTGCATCTGCAAAAATTCCCTTCTATTTCCTGAAAGCTTGAGGGAAGTTATAAGACTCATCTGCAGGGATAACAGATCATACTAAAAATTAAATCGAATGGTAGATCTATTTGGAGACTCCATTTCCATTGCTTTATTAGTAGAAATTTGGTGATACTGAAAGGATGATACTACGTAATTATCTTCTTAAGCTTCAGTTTTAGTTTCATAGGGAGAGAGATTTGTATTTCATTCTGAAACAATTAACTACATGTGGATAACAGATACAGTGGGGATTAAATACCATTCCTGCATCGTTCAATGAATTCAAATGCTTCCTGTTTCCAAACATTGTTTGAGTCTACTTATAGTGGGGAGATTCATTTGTTATTGCTGCTACAAGATACCACAAATTTAGCAGCTTTATACAATACCCATTTGTTATTTTAATTCTCTAAAGCAGAAAGCCAGGTGTAGCATGACTCAGCTGGTTTTTGGTTCTGAGTTTCATAAGGTATCTTCCTTTGTGAGACAGCAGTGATTTTTCCATGGAAGAGAGGTTGTATGAGTTCTTCACTTTTAGAGGCTATTTATATTCACTGGCATTTGGTCTCTGTCTCTCTTTTTCTCTCTCTTTCTTTCTCATCCTAGAATTGGAACTAAGGGCTTCATGAACACTAGGCAAGTGTTTTACTACTAATCTGTGTTCCCAGTGATCCTTCCTCCATCATTAACACCAGAAACTGTGATCTGAGTCAATTGTTGTTTCAACTACCTCTTAATACCATCTTTCCTTTTCTTTTCTCTTGCATCTCTCTCCTTAATTCAGTAAGATAAATTTCTATTTAAAAGTGTTGAAGTGATAATATTGGATCCACATTGATAAGCTAGCATAAACTACATATGTTAATGCCCATAACTTTCATTATGCCTACAGAGTACACAGTAGTAACTAGATTGATGTTTAACTAATTGTTAAGATCCTAGAGTGAACATTAGAGTTCTGCTTAATACAAGTATTATGTTTCAAATATGAAATATCCCCTTAAAGTGTTCATGTGTTACAAGCTTGGATCAGCAGCTGATAGAACTATTGAGAAGTGATTGGTGCTAAATTTATCAATGTATTAATGCATGGAAGGATTATAGCTGAATGGACTATTAGGAAGAGGGGACTACTCACAGGAAGTAGGGCACAGAGAGTCCAACTTTGTGGAGTACATCTTGTCTTTGGATCTTCTCTCTTTCTTCCTAGTTGCCTAGCTTTATTCTCTGCCTCTCTGTTTCCTGAATGTCACGATGTGGCATCTATGCTTTTCCATGAATGCCCTTCTTATTATAACCTGGGAAACCAGAAGCCGCCACTCCCTGAAGCTGTTCTCTGAAGTATCTCAAAACAACAAAATGACAAATCCACACAGTAAGAGAAAGTGACATAAGAGAATGGCAAGTAGAGAACAATGAGCATGGCAAGTAGACACCAGTCTCATCAGGGACCACGTGTTTGTTAATGTGTGATTTCACTCACCTGATAATCACTGCACTGAGTTGAAGCCATAGAGTAGGAACTCTCTATATGTGAAATTCTCTTCCTCAAAACTCTGAAAACTGGTGAGTTATCATTGTGGTAAGAAGAAACAAACAAAAACAAAGTCACTGAAGAACCTTTCCATTTTCAAGTTATAGACCAATAAGTTGAGTCCAACTCTAACTGGTTTGGCTTAAGGGTCTTGAGAACTAAGGAGAGTACTTGACATGCATTTAAGTTGAAAACCACTGATGGGTTGTTTCTCCACCAATCACCCATCATCTGCTCCCTAGATTTCCCTACCTCTCATCTTCTCATAATTTACTCTTATTATAAAGTTAAAGAAAGTGCTATACTGACATGCAGAAAGGAATTGATGGAGGTAGGGAATTTCAGTTATTAAGAGCCTATTGTTTACTAAGTATAATGCAAGATATTATTCATTTATGTGCATCACATTTTAGAAGACCTGTAAGATAATGAAAGTGATATTTTAAGATGGAATTGTGTGTGGAAAAATGTAAGATTTGCTTACTATCACTCCTAGATATTGAATAAACAAATTATAAGCTCTTGTAGGAATGACTTTTACAATATGATAATAATCTGGACTAAAGACTTTAACTAACCTTGCAAACAAAAAGTTGTCATTTATAATGTAAATAATCTCACAGGGCCATGCACTCTTTTTTGGACCTGAGAATTTGATCTTAATCCCTCAGGACCCCAACCTCCCTCCACTCAAGACAGTGAATGAATGATAGTGAATGAATGTATGTGTGAATGCTTAACATATCAAAGCTTTCCAAGCAGCCTGCTTTCCTCATTGTAAACCATGAAAGGAATTGAGTATATGTGATATTTTAGACCTGGGGCAAAGGACAAAATTCTCTGATAAGAGTGGGTCATGACTTCTATTTCTCCATTTCATGATGGATTGTGGTGTCAATAAAAGAATGAGCAAAGTCCCAGCTCAGGGCACAGTTCCAAGAGACAGCTGAAGGAATGAGTACTCAGGCAGTTTGGGTCTGTTGTTGGCCTTATGAATGCAAAGAGCTGTTTTTTCTTTATTAAGGCAAATCAGAATGTGGCTTATAAACACCTCAGTCCCTTATTTAATATTTCTAATTATGATGAAAATTAATTTTTCCTGCTTTTTTTTTAGAGATGAAGAAAGAAATACTAAGAGCAGAAGTCACTTGGTCAGGGATATATCTATAAGATAAACACTGATCTACTATGCAAAATTTCAAATTCCATTCCAGAATATAAACAAATAATGTTTCATTTAAATAGGCATTTGGGCTACAAAATATTAAATCAATATTGCTATTGTCATATATTGCATTAAAAATTAAAAATTGCATCCTATAGACAAATTGATTACTTAATTCACTAGATACTTATTATTTAAATGTTCATTGTATACCAAGTCTTATACTAGGGCCACTACATGCAGTTTATGTCAAGAAGTTGCTGTTTATGGGGGAAATTTTAGCAAGTCATTTGTAAGAGATGCTTACAAAATTCTAGATGAATAAAAAAAGAGATTTTTGCTTAAAATAGAACATTCATGAAGTACAATGAAATCTGATTTTTGGAATTTTAAGAGTAGTTGAGAATTTCAGAAGGAGAAATAGAAGGAAAAGAAAACAGATATTTTGTATATAATTTCTGTAAATATGCTTGTACACATGAACTTACTGATGGTTAAATATGGTAGAACGTCATCTTTTTCAATAAATATTCCTGCTCTATCAAATATCACTCCTGATTAGTACCTAGTTATGTCAATATCTATGATTCAATTCCTTAATTCTTTTTAAGCTAGAATTTTTTGTTTGATTTATTTTTATTTTGTGTGTATGTGTGTTTTGCCTGCAGGTATCTGAACTTGCAGGTAAGTGCAATAGTGCATAAGGCGCACACAGAATCCAGAAAGGAGCATCAGATTCCCAGAGCTATAGACATTATTAGCTGCTATGTGGGTGCTGGGAACTGAACCCTATCCTTTGCAACAGCAGCCAGCGCTTTAACCACTGAGTCATCTCTCTGACCCCCCAATTAGTTATTCAACATCAGTCCCAACAACATTCAAATACCTAATTGATTCAGTTTCCTTTTCCACTGCTCCTCCTGTGGCAGGAAAGAACAGTGGAAGATGTGGCTTCCCTTTACCCTCCTTATACCGATAATTCATTCTCCCTTCCCCCAAATCTTTGGAACACAAAGAATTTTGTTTTTACTCTAATTTTTTGGTTATTTTTATTTTGTTCTTAAAGAAATAATTATCCCATGTTAAACCCATAAAACTTTGACTTGAACTGTTTTTGTGTGAGGGTAAAAAGAACACATTGTTTTTAAGAATAGATATAATATCCCAGACACTTCAGAGCATGGTAATTTTACCTTATTATGTAATAGCAGGGTTTTGTGATGACTCTAAATTAAATAAACACATTTTATTTATAAAGTCAACATAAGGAAGTTCTTGATCAGCATGAAATGAGGTCACTTATTCAAAACTCTTAGCTATACATTGATTTTGTATTTCTTGATAGTTCCCCAAAGCATCTTCCATAGGAATATTAAGGCAAATACAAATCCGCAGTGATAAGAAGAGCTGTGCTCTATATTATGATAATAAAACATAATAGTAAATACCTCTTTGGATGTCCTCTGGTACTATGGCAAGTCCTGGGCATAGATTCTGGTGAAAGCACAAATGGATTACTGTATCTCCACATAGTTACAAGTGTACTTGTACAAGATTTTGTACTTGTATTTAGTATCTTAAAAAAGTACATTAAAAATAGGTTTCATACATGCTGCAGGAATTGCCTTTAAAATAAATTCTGAAGTCTACTTTGAGCAATGGTGGCATCATTTGCATAGTGTGTTAACTTCTGTTGTGAATATTTGCAATAAATCACTAGTATGAACGCTTGTTATAAAGGCAGTTACATTAATATTGCATAGCTAACTCCTCTTCCTCCTCTGCCTTCTCTTTTAGGGCTAACTTTCTGCATGAATCACCTGTGCAACAGTTTGGTAAACTGTTCTCTGAAGGAATTCCTCCTCTTCCTTGCAGAGGTGTTGATATTTCATTTTATCTTAGAACTTGTGTTTTGTAAGTCTGGAGTTACAATGGACCATGCCCTGGGTGAAGTTGCTACAGCAACAGCATTACCGTCTATGTGCAGGCTCCAGGACAGTGGGAAGCTTGGTCTGGCTGCATATACATTTTTGAGTAATCCAGAGTAGAAGGGTGGCAGTCAGTACCAGGCTGTTAAGAGGGTGGCTGGCTACCAATTAGGCTCATGATGGCAGTGGCATTGGAGAAGTATATACCAGTAATGGTAGTGGCCATAGTTGAGACAGAAAGTAGGGATCACCATGATAGCAGTGTGGATTTTCCCATCAGTCCTGACTTCCGGTTTGTGTTACTTTGTCCATAAACATATTAACTGTGACTTCCAGGACATAAGCAATTGCTATTATTTAGGCAAGAAATTTGTAAGTTTTTGTACATAAAGGCAAATGTGGATACTAGAATAAGGCATAACAAAGTTACTAAAATTCCACATTTGAGGGCCTGGAGAGATGGCTCAGCAGTTAAAAACACTGGTTGTTTTTGCAGAGGACCCAGGTTTGAATCCCAGCACCCACATGGCAGCTAACAACTGTCTGTAACTCCAGTCCCAGGGTATCTGACAGCCTCTTCTCACCTCCGAGGGCATTGCACGACATGAGCAACACACTTATCTACATGCAGGCAATACACGCGTACACATAAAATAAAAATAATAAATTTAAAAAAAATTAAATTCCACATTTGAAATCTATGATTTTCAAAGTCTGTACTACATTGGAATGCATCTACCAGTTTGCATTTTGGAGTTAAATTTGTACATCTTTGCATTTGTGTAAAAAAAATACTAGTTTTTAAAATAATTTTATTGAGTTCTTATGCATTTCATACAGTAGCCATCAATCAATTCTAGGCCCTCTTCCCCATCCATGCTCCCAGGCAATCATCTGCACCCAGATATCCCTTAGTGCTAGTTTATTCACTGGAATCTAGTCAGTCTACTCTGAAATCTTAAGTAAAGTCTGTTCTCTCTTACCCAGCAGCAATCAGTTGCCAACAGTTACCAGACAGGGCCAGCCTGTCACTCATTTCCCTCACTCCACTCCAGACCCTTCTCTGATTGAGTCAGCATAGGTCCTCTGCACAATGCCACCATTGCTGCAAGTTCATGTGAGAAAGCTTCCAGTGGTTTGAAACCCTCTGTTTCTCCACATTCATGGACAAACCCTGGCTCTTTCCATCCCTTCTTTCTAAATGGTCCCTGAGCTGTGGGTGTGTGAGGTTTCATATAGGAATCCAATCCAGGGACACACACTCTGCAGTCTCCTATTCTCTAAAACTTAGGAAGTTATGGCCTTCTGTGTGCATCACACTCTGTTGTATAAGGAAGCTTTGCTGGTGAGAGTTGAGGGATGCACTAGTTCTCTCCATCCTCTGTTCTGCTATGTTCCATGAGCCTTAGGTTAAAAAATAAAAACAAACAAACAAAAGATGCAATACTAATTTTATATGATGCTCTTCTGAGTAAGCTACTGTAGAGGAGGATGGCATTGATACTGATATTTTTGTTTGTTACTAAAGATACCAAAAGAATACATGGTGTTTTGAATTCTATACAAATTATGAAATCATATTTTTTTCTTATATACCTTTGACTAGTGCAAATAGGTCAGGGAACATATAAAAATGATACAATATTTATTTAAATTTAAAATTAAATTCAGATTTACTAAAACCTTTTTATTTTATATTTCATAAGTTATGAGTTCAAGATATATCAAAATTTATATTGTAAATAATTTGTAAGAAACAACCCAATTTGTCACATCTTATGAAATATTTTGCATATCTACAGTAATATTTGAATCTACAGAATCTTTTCAAAGGTACAACTTACTAAAAATATTTTAAGCCCTCTATAAGTATTACAGATGAAACATGCATTTCTGGAGATTCAAGGATATCATCCACAAATGAGAGAAAATATGTAATATTTGTCTTTCTGGGTCTGGGTTACCAGGGAGAGAAGATAGAAAACAATGCTATAACTGAGTAAAAGGGGAATTATGAACAGAAAACAACACCATGTATTTAAGACAGAAAATAAATAAATCAAGCTGGTACTCACCTGGAATCTTTGGTCCCTAATTGACAAGCTTTTATAATGCTAGAATGTGCTATGTATGCTCTGGGAAGAGAAAAGTAAATATTTACCTTACCCAGCTGTAAACCCTGTGAGCTGCAGTGATAAATGACATGGCAAAATATGCCCACTGGTACAATAGTGGCATGAATATTATGAGACTAATCAAACACTTTCTCATTGGATTCCACAAGATGGAACCTATACCTGGCACCTTTATTGAGGCCAAGATCCTATGGCTTGACAGGTTATAGACCCCAAGGGAGAACTTACTACTATTATTCTTATATTCTTATATTGACTCTTAATGACTTATAATTATATTTATATGTTAGTGTACTTCTCAATCCTTATTAGAGATGATTCTTTTCACAGTAGATGCCAATTAATACAGAGACCCTCAGCTGGTCATGGTGCAGAGAATAAAACTACAGAATGCTCAGCCCTAAATAGGATACCTCTATCATTCCCTCTTTTCCCAAGGTTCAAGGATCCTGATAGGTTGTAAGATCCAGAGCCTGCAGATGATTGCAAAGAAACAGTTCTTTCAGGACACAATAAGGTGGGTGCACATATAAACTCACAGCGGTTATGACAGTATGTACAAGAACTGTGAAAGCTCAAGGCAAACAAAATCCCAGCCTGGGGAGCGAAGGTGGGCATGATGTTTCACCCTTACCTGAGGAGCTATTGACAATTGACAGCTGCTGAGAGAGGGAGAGTCAGTCAACTTTAGGAGTCTGGCCCCTCTACAGATGGCTGTTACAAGGGGCAGAGACAATCTCTTTCAAGCATGGGACTCTTGGCTAACCAGTCTCCAGTGGATGAATCCACACTGAAGGACATTTGGAGACACAAATTAGGCTCTATAGGCTGTGTGTGTGTGTGTGTGTGTGTGCACAAATATATTGTATATAATATATGTAACAGAGCACATTAAATTATACAGAGGAGGTGCAGATAAAGGAGGAGATCTAAATACCATCAAATTATATTGTATGAAAACGGAAAAGTGAAATTTAACGTAAAAGTCTGACCCCTGGTGGGTTAATCATGCTGCAGGGGTGACCACAAACCCAAGAGTGTATGGCAACACAAATTGGACTCAGTGGTTCGAAAAAGTTGAGGGTACAGCCTCTCTCCTGGTTAAGTACATCACACCCTCCAGCACCTTGACTTCCCCAGCCTCATTCACCCTCCCATCTCCCTCACCTGTCTCTACTCCTAGCCTGGGTGCTGGCTCATTCCTTGTCTTGGTGCCCCAGATACCAGGGGAACCACCACTGCTTGCTGATCCTTTGCATCCAGACCAACCCAATTCCTTCTCCTGGTCCCCAGGAGCCCTCTGGACCTGGTCCAGTCCTCACCTCCCTCTGCTTCCCTGGGATGTGGCAGCCCACCAGCCTCTTTCCTAGACACTGGGGCTGACCTCTTGGCCTGGGGCCACCACTGCTTCCTGATCCCTTGCATCCAGACCAACCCAGTTTCTTCTCACAGTCCCTGGGAGCCCTCTGGGCCTGGCCGTGCCCTCACCTCCCTCTGCTTCCCTGGACCTGCACAGCCCACCAGCTTCTCTCTTGGATAAGTTCATCAAACCCTCCTCACCTTCAGACCCCCAGCCTCATTCACCCTCCCATCTCCCCTGCCTGTCTCTCCTCCTAGCCTGGGTACTGCCCCATTCCTTGCCTTGGCACCACAGACACCGGGGGAACAGCCACTGCTTCCTGATCCTTTGCATCCAGGCTGACCCAGGTCCTTCTCCCCTTCCCTGGACCCTGGTCCCCAGGAGCCTGCTGGGCCTGGTCCCACCCTCACCTCCCTCTGCTTCCCTGGGCTGCACAACCTGCCAACCTCTTTCCTGGACATTGGGGCTGAACTTTCAGCTTCCTGATTGTCCTGCAGTCCCCAGGAGTCCTTGGGGCCTATTCCCACCCCCATCTCCCTTTGCATCTCTGGGTGGCATGGCCACCAGCTGCACCAGACCAGTATCTTTCCTTGGCCCTGCTCCCAGGCCAGTCAACCCCCAAATTCCTGAGGACGATATCTTTCTTGGAGGGATCCAGACCTTGGGAGAAAGCCTGAGAGCATCTGATCTTCATCTGACTTGGGCCTCTGTGGAAAATCCTGAAGACAAAAGCGACCTGACCATTCCAATATAAAATCAAAAGAGAGAACTGGAAGCTTAGAGGAACCAGCTTTTCATGCCCAAAAACATAAGAAAAGGACCAAGGCACACAGAATACAAACAGAAGCATACTTCAACTTAATTCTCATATCAGAATCATAAACAACAAAAGAGATTCACATGCCAAAACCACAATGAAAGAATAATAAAATGGAAAGCCAAAACATTATGTCCCCACCAAACTCCACCAGTCCTATAGAAGAGTTCTACAAGGAGAACCTCATAGAGATAACCTAAGACACAGAATTTAAAAGAACATCATAAACATGATCAAGGAATTCAACGAAATTAAAGA